GTAGTTCCGAACACTTCATATCCTGCAAGCAGATACAAGTTTCTCGATTTATTCTCATTGTCAGTAAATATCGTATAACTTCTTTCACACTATAACAGATCTATGTAACGAATAGCAAAAAGACGAATGATTGTTCGCGCGTAAAACGAAGGTAAAATATACTATTAAAGTAATTTTCTGATTTTTAGATAAGATCGTTGAATTTTGGGATTATAGTACACACCATCCCGTAAACAAAATGATAGCAGATTTTTGGTAGACTGGCAACAGATTTCATCGAAACATTTCTGCAAATTGGCATTATCTGCGTCCGCATTCAGCCTGCGTTCTGCCGCAAGACTTTGCTGACATGCTCGGACAACTGCAGATTGTCGTCAGGAACCGAGCAGGATCTGCGCGGCAGTTTGATGGCAGATTGGTGGTAAAAACTGAGTAGGATTTGTCGTTTAATTTATATTTTTACCGTTTTTGTTCCTTTCATTACAAAGATGAAAATAAGTAAGTAGTCCTTTAAGATTTCTACACACTCGATACACAAGAGTGCAAGACAGTTCATTTTAGCACTTCCAAAAGATGACCAAAATCTCACGTGGATGTGTTAATTTATAATACCGCGCGCGGTGTTCTTTTTACGAGAAAGTGTCATGCCGCGTGTCCAAGTAGAGGGAACGTTACGCTAATAAACGACAAAGTTTGCTCCGTTTTGTTACCAATCTACCGACAACTTGTGTCAACAAATTCTGCTCGGTTTCGGCTGCAATCTGTCGCCATGTTGCGTGAATAGGATCTGCTGAATGTCTGCCGCCAATCTGCTGTCTAAACATGTTATCTCAAGCTTCATTATATATTCATTATATATTCATTATATATATATATCTGTTGATGTTCTGCCCACATCATGTGATATATCAGAGTCTGTATAAAATTTGTAGTCTTTCTGTCGATAAAATTGGGAAACAGTGTTTTCTGAAATCTGTTCTCTATTGGCTGTCTGAGCAATTAACCATGAAAATAATTGCCTAAAGAAATATTCGGTATTGCTTTCCGTGAGGTACAAACCATTTGTGGCGTCTATATTTTTCATCCCAAACCCTTCCGTTTCCGTATAACTAACACCCATGTACACTCCGGTACGTGATCCTCTCACAGTCATGGGATTGACACCAGCATCAACTATCGCCTCGTACGTGACTTCTAACAGCATGCGTGCCTGTGGGTCCATTATATGTGCCAGCTTGGGAGGTATTCCGAAAAATGAGGCGTCAAAGCTACTGAGGTCCTTGATTTTGCCATATTTGGATAATAACTCGTGCATATCTGCTGACCAACGACATTCGTCATCAGAGACCATGTCTATTCCTTTCATGAGATTCTCTTTAAATTTCTCAATATTAGACGATCTAGGCAGGCGGCCTGAAACAAACGTTTATTTTTCAATATATTTTGTTCTCACGATACAGTCATTCGCGACCGACAATTACCTGATATGCCCGTGATGACGATATCACCGTCGTTGGGATACGGTATCCCATTTCCAAACGTGGATTCACGCGTCGCGGAACTGTTGACAGGTTCAAATTGAGCAGGCATCTTACCGAAGAAGATCGCTATCGAAATCTTTTCGCTACGTATGAGTTTCTATCTGCAAAGATAAAACCAATTCGTGTTTTACGTTCGTCGACACATATAGTCGATCTACGCAAGGAGAAGGCATATTTGAAAAGAGTATACAACAATCGATAAATTTTTTCAATATCTTTTACAGTTTTGTAAAGAACGCAACAAGTATAGCTTTAAATAATTCTTTTTATTTGACAAAAAAATTTTTGTTTGAAATTATCGGTTTTTATTTCAATCCCAGGAATAAACGTAGACATTGTTTGTGCTTATCTGTCACGTTGAAATCTTATAACGTTCTGAATTCTCGTTCAACCGTTTTTGAACATGCTTGGTTTACGCCCGAATTGACATATAATATGTACTTAAGTAATGTTAATAAAATTTCTGGAAATCAACTGTACTGACAAATTTGCTAGGTCGTCGCTCTTTCTCGAAAAAGTAATTATCTTTCTCAACCAAAGACTCGTGTTCAGACGTTTATAAAAATGTGTTTTGAACGTGTCAAATCGAACTCTCTCGACAAGTGGCGCTACTGTCCACACAGCATAAAAGCTGAGACGTAAACCACTGAGAGCATTGTGGTGTACAGAGTTGTTGTATTACTCACACAGTAAAAAATATTTATCACAAAGATATCTGGAAGATATTTAAATATTACAATACCTGATACAAATAACGATTCTGATATCACTTCCCAGCAAACACAAAGTAACAGTTACATAACTGTAAGTTAAAATTTTCTTCTCAACAATAATATAACTGTTACATAACACACGTGTTATACATATATATATGTATTCTTATAAGTCATAATGCTTTCTAAAATTTTATCCTTCTCAAAATTTTAATTTTTCTGTTGTTTATCTATTACGTATACTTCAACATTTTTTTTTGTTAATAAACATACCCTGAAAAATTATAAAGTTTTCTTCAGATAGATGGATCGCCAATAAATAAAACTCAATAATTAAAGGGTTATGTCGACAATAACTGGCACAATATACATATTTCAATTAATACACACAGGTTTCATGCGGGGGGAGCTCTAGTTCAACTTTGAGTTACTTCCGTTCAAGGGGTGGACGATCGAATAAAATTCGATAATCCTTGTGTAGATTTGTAAATTCGAACTGGGATCTACGGCTTATTAAAGCTGCGCACATCTCTTTGCGCCACGACCGTTATGGTGCAAAGAGATGTGCGCTTCGAATGACTGACACACGATATAATATAGAATATATTCGCTGTTTTCGCCGTTGCATTTTAATTCAACAGTTTATACAAAAACTCTAGAACGTCGTTACGATAACATTACATCGCTTTTAAGCAAAATAAAATAAGTAGAGCGATATGTCAGGCAAATATATAGATATTATTATATGTCAACAATGTTAGGTAACATTTTAAATGCTTGTATGCATGTATGTTTTTTTAAAGTTTACCATACATTGTACTAGTGAAATGTATACTAACAGTAAGTATAATTACTTGGTAAAATATATGGTAAAATTCCAAAAAACTTTCATAAAATTCTTTGAAATGCAGTGTTGTCCCACAATTACAATACATTCAGGATAAATTTTAAGAGAAAATTCTCTCCGTGTAGATTTGTTACTTTCTACGCGAAGCAATTTTATTCAACTTATACATTTCTTATTAATAAATTGTTTTGTATAGTAATTTAAAGTGACAGTCGTGACACGGCACGTATTATTGTAAATTTAATTTATTACATTGTGATATTTCTCGACAGTTGATCTCTCATAATTTTACCCATTTTTATGCACGCTTTAACAATGAATAGTTCTCCCCGTTAAATATCTATAAAAGATTTTTTAATCTTACCATTTATGTATGTTTTTCTTGAGAGTCGATGGTTCAATAAATTTATTCTACAGTCAAATAGTCGATTGTCAGGATTAAGCTAAGACCCGACTGTCCGCAGGCCGTACAGTACACGAGTGTCCGTTCGAATGACCGGCACACGATATAATATATTCGCTGTTTTCGCCGTTACATTTTGACTTAATAGATTATACAAAACCCTAGAACGTCATTACGATAACATTACATTGCTTTTAAGCAAGACGAAATAAGTAGAGCGATAAGTCAGGCAAATAATAGGTATTTACATGTCGACAATGCTAGGTAACATTTTAAATGCTTCCATGTATGCATTTAACCATTTGTAAATCATCACAGAATTTTAACTTTATATAGTGTTCTCAAAGATTGTCAAATTTTATTCGATCGTCCACCGCTTGGACGGAAGCAACTCAAAGTTGAACTAGAGCTCCCCCCCGTATGAAACCTGTGTGTATTAATTGAAATATATTGTGCCAGTTATTGTCGACATAACCCTTTAATTATTATAATGTCTTGTTAATAGAGAAAATAAAATGTATAATACATACATGGCAACATTATGTGTAACTATTCTAAGATCGATATTACCAGGCGGACGGAATCTACGGTCTCTAAAAGTCAATCAGTAGATTAATCACTGAAAATAGTGAATAGTCCCTGATTTACAATTATAAGTATACCGCTGCGATTTTCAGTCAATTGTTACTGATTTACATTTATAAATATACCACCGCGATTTTCAGTGGTACACTTATAATTGCAAATCAGTTCATTGATAATTTACTGATTGGCTTTTAGAGACTGTAGATTCCATCGATTTCTTTCGCTTTATTAATTTCTTTTTTTCTAATCGCGAGTGTGTAACCGGCCATCGTGACGTAAGTCTAGACGCGGTGCGGCAAGACGCGGGAGCGGCGACGTAAGCTCGCGGGCAACGGCGCGCTGTTTCCTCCCCCCCCCCGCCTTGCGCCGTATTTTTATACCGAATAATTAATTGTCGCGATCCGTAATCTTATTGCTCATTTCTGCGGTGATTTCTCGAGAAGAATATCACGCGTAATTTGAAGTAAAAGTGTCATAAGGGAATTGCATATATAAATTATTAGTTAGGTTCGATATATCCACGAGGGCTAATACCTTTTTTACGATCGAACTCGGACGAATCTCTCTCACGTCGTGCTTGAAGTAGCAAACCTAAGTTATGTGTTGTGTTAACTCGATATTAATTGTTTTAAATATACACATAATTGTACAACTTTTTGTCGATAATCCCCTCCTCGGGTACTACCTTGCAGCGGTGGAGGGGCTTAAGTACCCGAAGAGCTGTTCTCTAAAAATCAATCAGTGCATTATCACTGAATCAGTGAATATTCACTGTTTTCAGTGACAATCCATTGATTGATTTTAGAGAGTACATACTCTAAAGACCGGGATAACCAAAGGTACCCATTGCGCTATTCCCAGTGAGAAATGATTCGTCGATCGACGTCGAAATGATGTCGAATCGACGCCAATTCGATGGTGTCGATGTCGATTCGACGTCGTTTCGACGTCGATCGACGAATCATTTCTCACTGGGTTTGGGCTCGATTTTTCTGTTTCTAATAAATATTGTTGAGTAGGAAATTTTAACTTACATATGTAACTGTTACTTTTGTGTTTGCTGGGTTGGATGTCTGAGATATGTTTTCCAGATTCTAAAAAATAATTATTGTTTCATCTGAGATATGATATCTAATTTTATATCAAATAATAGAAATCTATAATATATTTCCGTGAAATCGGATTTTACATATTACAGAATAGGCAATGTGATAAATAAGATATATTTTTCTTTATCAGTTACGGCATGAATTAAGGAACACTGCCTCCATAAATCAGCCTTTACTTTTTTATACTATTATTGTAAACTCATATTTATCTTTTTTCATTTTTTAATCATACTATGGCTGCGTTCCGTTTGGGCGCTCACGCGCTGTAAGCATCGCTCTATCTTCGTTTGATATTCGATGTGCAACGAAGATAGAATGATGCTTACAGCGTGTGAGCGCCCAAACGGAACGCAGCCTTTTTCTTCCTTGACTATATAACTTTAAAAATCTTATTTTGAGAAAAACTTAAATAATAAACAATTATTTAAAGACAAATTAAATAATAAAAATAAATTCATTAATGTTTCAAAGGAGATATCAAGAATGTGAAATTCTTAAAATATTTGGGATATATCATCTACGAGAACTTTCAAATATAAGTGGTAAAATAATATCTGATCTAAGTCTTATTTTATCACACTGTAACTTAATCAAATATTTTAAAAAATGGTAGCTTTACAGTTTAAAAATACGTAACGTGGATCAGTTCTTACGGTATGTTTCACGATTTATTGCGGTTACAGCAGTTTATGTACAAAGACTTTTTACGTTTCTCTATCTAGGTAAACTATGTTGTGCGAGTTTAAACCTTCGATGTGCATATATATACCCAGCAAAATAAAAATATTGCAACAACGTTGCGGCGATGGTGTAATATTGCTGTAACGTTCTGTATTTGCTAGGTATTGTGTTATTATATGAGCTTGTTTCAAAACGTTATTAGTAGTTTTGATAATAAATGCACGTACATACCTTTTTTCATTGCGCTTTGCTCTATTATTCTTCGCAGATATTGCACGGATATGGCGCAATTTCTCCAACAACATGTGCTTATCTCGTGTGATTACTTAGCAATAAAATATTATTTTATTAAAATATGTTTTTTAATAACATGTTTTTAGACATGACGTATGTCATTGCACACTTAATAGACTACAGTGCAGAATTATCTCGCTTTTTGCACTTTGCATTATTGCGTTTCGTAAATGTCACGTGTAGATATCGGCACTATTTGTTCACAGACATCCCAGAAAATATTTTGCGCGTAAGAAGCTAACTATAACGACACACTGAGACAGGATTTTACTTGCGCTGTGGAGCCATTTTTGTACATGAATTATTAGATATTTAGCCGCAAAATTATACATGAGCGGGTGATCTTCTATTGGACACGTAACGGTACGATTGGACACCGCTCGATTGGACACCGAAATCATTGGACACCGCATTATT